AACAAAAATTTTTATACATTTTAAATATTTTTTAGACAGAGAAAACTTATAAAATTTTTGCGATTTAAAAATTAAAAAGCCGGGCGGGCAGGTCACTTTTAGAATTCTATGTTATGAGAAACAATTATTTAATTTTGTATGGCCTTAGCGCTCTTCGTATATATAGCGCACATATAAAATTTTTTTTTTGTGCACATTTTTTTTGTGTTTGCGTGAATAAAAATTTTTTGAATTTATAACACTACTTAGTATTAAAATTGTATATTAAATCCTGGAATATTATTGGCCAATTTGTGTCGATCTTTCACGTGATATTATTAAATCCGATAACCTCTCAAATCCGATAACCTCTCAAATCCGATACAAAACCTGTCCACCATAGGTATCGGTTTGGGGAGGGTCGACTGTATATATTATATTTTGAATAAAATTTCAATTTAAAATTAATAACTTTAGCCAACATACTAAGGAGAGTGCCGTTTATAATGTAATTTTTAGGAGAGGAGAAAGGGTTAACAATTTATCACGTCAATATATCGAATATAAACGATATGATTGGCTGTTGATTTTATCACCTAGAGGGAGAGGGTTTGGCCTACTAATAAAAAGAAAAATTACGTAATAAACGGCATATCCTAATGCTAACTAGAAACCAAAAAATTTTTATCTAATTTTGTAAAAATTTCTATCCGATTCTGATCCAATCTGAAATACGTGATCGCATGCGTATCACTAGATTTAGATGTAGATTATTTAGGAACATGCTGCGCATTAATAATGCGCCCGTCATCTGTTGAGAAGAGAAGATAAAATGTATACGTATACAGCAGTAACATTTATCATTTGAGACTTAAACATACTGGCGTGCAAAAAAAAAAAGAAGCTACATTACATTGCTTTTTTTTCTAAATTTTATATATAAAAATTTACCTAAATATATATATATATATACATATATACCTGGTTATTGTATATAGATATAATTTTAAAATATATATATATTTAATTATACCGATACTGAATAAAAAAATTTAAATTTTGAATTAAAATTTACTTTGCTTCGCCTTATTTCGAGTTTATTTTTTTTATTTCTACGTATAATAACTATAAAATTAGCCTTAAAAATAAAATAAATAAATATAAAATTAGCTATCCAAACTTGATTAGACAGTTAACCCGAAATGCATGTCATGAAACGGCCGTAAGGGTCAGTTCGGAAACTATTCAATAAATAAACGAAGTCATTTCATGCATGAAAAATCAAAATAAGAAAAACGGTGCGGTTACGCATCTAAAAGAACGCGGGTTATTTTTCATCCTAAATGAGCTATACGCTAAATGATCAACAATTCCATGCGTCTAGACTTGGCGTAAACCACGTGACTGATTTGGATTGCATGAGGCTTTACGAGTTATATAAATCTTATAAATCCAGATTTTAGAAAAAAAAAGGAAAAAAAAAACCCCCAAATACTGAAAAAAAAAAAACTGTAATGGCAAATCTTGAAATTGATCTGGAGAGTGTTCGGCAAGATTACCGAGCGTCCTTACAAGATTTGACGTTTAACTCAAAACCAATAATAACAAACCTAACTATTATTGCTCAAGAAAACTTACCGGCAGCAAGGGCAATTGTACAAGCCATTGAGGACCAAATCAGAACTGTGAGTTTTTTCTTTTTGGAAAAATAAAATTAGATCAGAGACCTTATAATATATTGGCTACTTTTGCGAGTGAATAAGTGACATTATTTAGGAAGGCTTTTTTACGTTGCTTTTCATTTTTTGGCTGATTTATTTTAAAACC